TGCATATTGGCAAAAAAAAAACCTGTTAATTTATCTGTTCAAATAAGGAATTCATTTATACAGAGTGTCATTTTACAAGACACAGAATATATGTCTGCATCACGCTTGCAGAAGATTAACAAATCAACCTAGCTCCTCCTAGCAGAAATTCAGACATAATTTTATTCTTTTTCTAATATAGCTGATTACATATGATTAGCCAAGATCATAGATAGTGTGGAGTGTTATAACCTATGCCAACTTTGACACTTTCACAAGGAAGAATTTACATAATTCTATCATTAATAAATCCCTAAATGAATAAATAATCAGGAAATAGGGGACAAAGAATCCAGATTACTACAGATGAAAAGTTTAAACAGATCTGTGACTTCAGCCTTTGCTCCCATTTCAAATGCATAAGAATTATAAAGGATGATCCAAGGTTCCCTCAAATTTTGGAGGCCAAATGAACTTTCCACTGCCTAGGTTAGAGATGTCTGTATGGAAGCTCAGTCTGTATAGTTTCTTTAAAGCCAAGGGAAAGAAATATAGAAGGAGTTTTCTTCTCTTCCTCAAACTTTCTGATTTCCTCAGTGATCTCGCTCCATTTCAGCCCCTCTCCTAACGCTCCCGATTCCTCCTTCCTTCCCTCCTCCTTGCATATACCCTTAACACTTGCTCTTCTCTTCCTTCCCGTCATGATACAAACATGTATTTAGCCTCTGCCATCTCAAAATGTCCTCCTTGCTGCTGGCAATGCCCACCCCACTGCCTGGTGGCCCCTTTTCTCCTTATTTTGGACTTCCCAGGAGATGGTTTCCCACCTCTCTCTCTCTCTCTGGTGTGCCTTCCCTTAACTGCATTGCAGACTGCTTCCCTCCACATTCCTCCCCTCGGACTTCCTCCATTCCACTGAAAAACTGCTTTGCAAGGATATGAAGACTGCGCATCTCTTATCCCTCTTCATAACCTCAAAAAAAACCAGTATTGCTTCTTCATCTTCTTGATCCCATCCCAACTTGGCCATGTTTTTCTTCCTGCAGTCTGACCTTCACTTGCAAGGCCCAGACACCCTCCTTCTCATCTTCTCTCCCTACAGGGGAGGAAGAGCCGCCAAGACACCCATATGTTACCTTTCCGACAAGCAGTTTTGCCTTATCTTTATATTTGAGGGCAACATCCCACTGAAGCAGCTCCTCATGCTCAACCAAATGCTCTTTAAGTCTCATGGCTTCCCTGGTGACAGGGAAAGGGTTCATCAAAGTGCTAGCGCTGAGCTGCTCTGCGAGTGAACCTCCCACGCCCCGAGATAAAAATAAACAACAGAATGCAGAAATACTGCTAAGAAACCATATGCTTCTCATTTTTGGCTATCACCAGAAGGATGAGAATTATTGGTGCAATGGTTCCCTAAGAATCAAACTGCACATGAAGTAAAAATGTAATAATAATAATAATAATAATAATGCATGCAGATAAGGTTAAAGTATAGACAACCTGATGAAGTGCATTGAATTTATTTATTTATTTGTCTTAGCAAACTATTTTAAATTGTTCTGTTCTTTTCCCTCCCAGCTCAGAGCCCCAGACAGCTGGAGGTGTTTAACGAAAAAAAAAAGTGCTATGCATTTTTTCCACAATATGTAGAATTCCTATTCTTATATTAGTTTTTATTCTTAGACGCTCAGGCTGAAATTTGAGTTCCACTGCAATGCTCCTACTAATTGCCTTGAATAATTCAAATTTTACCACTCTCAAGGGCACAACTGGAGCCAGACTGTTATAAGCCATATTTGTTACTCTGGAGCCAACAAAATAAGTATGTTTTATGCCATAGAGTGTGCTAAGCTAAAGTTACATTATTTTGTTTGTTTCAAATTGAGACAAGTGAAGAAATCACAGCGGATTGGCTTGTCAAAGGAGCCTACCAATAAACACAGAACAAGCCAAATTTTACTTTTAAAGCAGCAGGAACACTCCAAAATCGTAGTGTAACCCTGAAAATTGCATTTTGGTGAATAAAACTGGAAAAGGCCTAAACCGTGGGATCTCTCTATTTTTGGCTTAAGAGAGAAATTCTAAAGCTGCTGATGATTTGAAATAGGTCCTGAAGAGAAGGAAGGAAGGAAATTAGAATTTTTTTTTTTTTAACTTACCAAATTGTCTTGCCTGTGTAATAACACTGAGCATGACTGTCACTCTGAAGACATATTAGCTCATTTAGGTAATTAGTGTGAGCAGCATGTTTCCCTGCTTATTCCATTCAATTATAGGGTGCTCACTTTGTCATTACTGGAGTATCTTAATGTGACTTGTAATTAGTGTAATTACAATCCAATGTTAATTATATCTGCCACTTAGACATAATTTTATATAGTAATGGTCTTATTCTCAATAACCTTATTATGTTGTTTATTCAAACAGGAATTTAGCCTTCTTTCATGCGTCAAATATGGAGATTACAAAAAGAACTGCCTGTCATTTTTGTAGTTATGACTAGGGGATCTTTGCATTGCGAAATCATATTTGGGGCAATCAATGAATGGAGAAAACCAAATTACAGAGACTGATTATTAGAGACATGCTGAACTAACAAGAATAATTTGCACAGAAGGCACATTAAGACATATGCAGGTTCCTGAACGCGATGGAGAGAGGTCAAGGTCTACGAGTTAATGCGAGAGAGGAACGGGAGACTGCAAAACCCACCAAATGTGGTCTATAAGTTCTCCAAAGTCTCCGCACTGGGAGGTAAAGATAAAGCTCATTCTAGCAGTGACCAGAATAATGTTTTCTTGCACGTAGCCCACGAATGCAATGAACTCTCTTGGGAAGTAAAGCCCATGCCAGACCCAAACCATACTGTCACGTCTGTTCTTACTATCTCCAAGAAATATTTAGTTTCATCAAATGAGGGAAAAAAAAAATACTAAACCAACGCACATATTTCTCCCCCTATAGAGACCCAAAAGGACAAACAACACATGATAAGTATTAGTCATGTTACTTAGTGCATTATGTTGAAGAGGGGCATAAGAACCAGAGGAGAGGAGAAGTCTGGCAGCTAGCTGGGAGATGGAAACTGAGATCCCTCCTAATCTACGTCTTTTACTAAGAATCTGAAATGAGTTTCAAGCTTTGAGCTCACTCTTTGGAGCATAATGAATCATTCAGATTTCCATGGCTCAGGGTGATGTCCCAAGACAGCTGGCAGCTTTCTCTGAGCTTTAGAAAATCAAGAAGTTTAACAATGAAATCAGAAAATCAATGAAAATAGTAAATCTTGGACATGGAAAGCAAGGAATGATACTATCACTAACCCGACTGGAGAACTAGGAAACATTCCTCAGTACTGAGGAGAGGCTTAAAGTGCAAGATTGTATGTTCCCACTTAAGCTCCATCCTTTGCTTTCCTCCAAACTCCATACCCCAAAACTGCTTCTGCCCTAGGCCCTTTGAAAGACACCAGTGGGCTCTGGTGTTCTCACCATCATTTATTATTTTTGAACTGTTCTGGCAGGCTCACATACAAGGTATCATCTTAATGCTCCTTTTTTTTTTTTTGCCTAAAAAATATTTAAGGCTAAATCTGCTTTAATAAATAGGTATGAAATCTGCTTAAATTTACTTTAAAGCTGGCACACCATTGAATAGCTCACCACTGCAAAAAAAAAAAGAAAAAAAAGGAAATTACAATTAAGGTGCTTATTCATAAGAAAACAAATGGTCAAAGTAAAAAGAAAATACATCACTCAGTTATACAATAACTATAAACTATCCTTCAATAACTATAAACAATCCTTCATAGGATATAAATCTTACTGCAACTTCCATTTAAGCAGTGATTTCTCACTGGTTGCCCATTAAGTCACGCTCCTATGAGAAATCTTCAGTAAACTGATGAGCCTACCTGTTTTACTTATTTTATTTAAATGCAAAGTTCATTCCCTAATGCCAGGCAATATTTTTTTTAGGAGATTATTGCAGGACTCTGATCTCCATAGAGCACTCACTGCCTCTTGCCTTTTACTGCTCAGATGCAATCAGCAGCTCTGGAATGGGCGCTCAAACCAGTCCTCCTCATTAAACATTAACTAGCAGCTCTTCTAGCTGGTTTTATTCCACTTTATCTACAACAGCTCAGCTTAAAGGACAGAGCAGAAAAATTGTGCTGTCTTTCACCACCTTAGTGCCCTACCAAAACAGGAAAAACTTGTGGGTAGTAACAGCTATCTGCCTCCCTTCTATTACTTTTTATTATTATTATTACTTAATTTACTTATTATTATTAATTTTCTTATTACTACCTGCTACTCTAGCTGCAAATAGTCTTAATCTTGAAAACGTACTCAAGAAAACTGGAAAAAAAGGAGTCTCGATTACTGCTTCACACTTACTCTCAACCCGTAGGCAGACCAGGATTTGGTTACACCTCCCATTTCACTATAAACCCTCTGTGGTTGTCGTAAAGCTTTTCCACGTTGCTGAATATTGAGATTTGGTTAGATATTTTAGATAATTGAGATATTGTGAGCAAGAGGCAGCAGAAAGCAGACTGATGGGGATCAAAGGTGATTGGGAAAGCGTTACCCAGCGCACTGCTGGCACGCGACCGCGGGGACGGCAGGTCGGCCACGCCAGCACCCTGAGCTCCCTTCTCCCTGCACAGCTCCACAGCATCCACGAGAAACGAGAAAGGGAGAAACAAGTGAGGAACTGGGTCAATTACCAAACTGCAGACATGCAAGTCACCCGAAAGCTCAGCAAATACAGCACTCCTCTAATTACACTTACAGACACATACATTTGTTTTTCTTGGTAATTAGAATTTTCTATTGTGCTTAATACTGTTTTCTGTATTCTTTGCTTAACTGCAATTTAATTTGAGAGTGGATATAATTAATAATAAACATATCTTTTTTCCCCTTTTTTTTTTTTCTGATATTCTCTGGCCTTTTTTAATGCTATTCCTTCCCCAGCTATAGATTTAGAACATAATTTTTCCCAAGTTTTCTTACAGTTTACGCTGGAACCAGCTCAGTCCCACATCCACAGTCACCTGCAACCAGGACCCTTCTCAGGCATCACTTCTCCAGTGCAGTTCACAACAGTGCCTGGAAAGGTTTGTAAACATAATAAATGTGGCAGTAGTGACTGCTAACAGCCCAGGAGGATATCCAGACCGGGCTGCGCTTTGCCTGACTCACTTTTCTAAAGAAAGGGGATTTTTCATCAACAGAGCGAGTAAGCGGCTGCCCAGAGCAGAGCTCTCCTTTAACTGAGCTTCCCTCGGCGCTTGCTCCATCACCAAGTGCCAGGGAAATGGAGATGTTGTGCAAATGTTTAGAAAAGATGACCTGCTTTAATCTTAGCTGTCATTTCCAATACTGTTTAAGTTTACCCAGGCTCTCTAAGAAGGATGGAACAATGTTTAAAACATTATTCATTCCCTTCCTGTAAATTCAGATGGTTTTCTCCTTATCTCAGCCTGGGGAATCTCAAACTGAATCTCAGATCCTGCTCCCCGATTTGCCTCATTACTAGGACGTAAGAATAATAATGTCAATATTAATGTAAAATAAACTATCAAGCAACTTCAAACAAATAGAAAGTGAAGATTTCATTAGGATGCTGAACTCTCGTTAACAATCAGATTTGGGTACCTAAAGGAAAATCTCCCACAGGCCTATTTGTAGCCGCACGGCGGGGAAGGGAATTAACCTCAAAACGGGAACAGAGCCTTGCAGAATGGGCCACAGTGACTTATCCTTCTGGGTTTGTTTTCAGCTCTGCACTTCCCCTCTCTCCTGTGCTAAAGCAACAAGTGACTCATCTACTTCTCCCCACTGCAATTCCCCGGCTTTTGGCTCCCAGCACGGCCAAGGAAGAAAGCAGCACTCTGAATTTAGAGCTGGGAAATTTAAGCTCTCCAACAAACAAGAAGAATGGGTATTTTGACTGGAAATAGACCCTTTTTCCTCTGAAAAGCAAAAGTTTGATACCCAAACTCTATCAGGCCACATAATCAGTTTTATAAAATATGTGTGTATATATATATATATGTATATATAAAGGATAGAACAGAAACATAAAATCCACATAAAATCATACTATCCCAAGTCCTTTTTCTAACCCTTTCCAAAGCCCTTATGCTGTTACTGGGCTTCTAGGTGTCCCAGAGGACTGCATATTCATGGCTAAGCTTGCAGGTGCACTTCGTTGTCTTGGGGAACCATAGGAGAGAGCAGAGATGATGCCCAAGCTGCATCCTCCTGTATGAAACCAAGCTACTCTGAATTTTCACCATCCCATGTGTATCTGTGGATCAAGAAATAATTGGCCTCAACAGCAATAAGTGATGAAAAAATGGGGCAACCAAGAATACCAGTACCAGCAAAACTACACCTTGACAAAGTCCAAGTGCACCACTTCTAGAAAAACATCCTTGCAATACAAATTCTGCCTCATCTACACGAGAAAGTCTCTGCACACTCGTGTAGCTCCATATGCAGGGCCCCCAAAGCAGCCGCAGCATATGCTTATGGAAGGTCTTTTTCTGCTGGTCTGGGAGCATCAGCCTTTAGCGGCGTAAGCGAAGCCGACAGGAGCACCAGGGTCAGGGCAGCCACGGCCACACCACAGACTTTTGCACAGAGATACCATCCAGGGCCATGAATTTTTCACGACCGCAGTAATCACAGCTGCGCTAGCAAATCCTTGCAAAGAGGGCAGCTTTGGGCAGGAAGAGAACAACACGGTCAAAGCGTTTTGGGAGCTCCAACCCCCTCTATCTGGGGATTGCCGGCTGCCTGCCCTGGGCAATTTGTGATTTGGTGCAGAGTATTTTCCCCCAGAAAAGGTATCACATAAGCCACAGATGCAAACCTGTAAATGTATCCATGCAGCATATATATATATATATATATATATCCATATAGCCAAATGTATGTGAACATTTGGGAACAGAACTCAGTTGTTGCCAGATTCTACCCTTTCCCATCTGACCCCTTGTCACTGCACTTCTTGTTCCGTTCAGATATAAACTTAATTTGCCCAGATGACATATCAAAAATGGTGCTGAAAATGGTGCTGAATACCTACTGAGAGGATCTGTAGGAATAACAATGAGTAGCAATGGCAAAATTATATAACTTCATTCTTGAAAAAATATATGTTTAAAATCAAATCGAAAACACTAGCTTCTACAATTACACAAAGAAAGCAACAGGAAATGGACAGGGGGGAAACTATTTGAACAAGAAAAAGAGGTAAGAGTATTTAAGTAAATACGCCTATACATGAAGAGCTGCAATACCCCAAAGACCAGACAACCTCAGCAATGAGACCCCAGAAACTCGGGATGACTCAACTGCCATACAGAGATTGAGGTGATATCCTAAAAACTCCCTGCTGTGCTGCATTAACAATCAAACCTCCAGCAGAAATTTTGCCTTGATCTAACAGGGAGCCGGTCTGAACTTCATCTGTAGTTCATCGTTTATCTCATATTAGGATCTACTTATTTCAAAACTGATTTTATAGCTTCAATTATTTTTTCATGGAACTTCTTCAAAGTAAATAACATATGTGGTGCTAATAAAATCCAAGGGTTGCAGTTGCTGGCATTGGTAGATGAAGCCTAATATTGGGTGTAAATAATACATACGGGCTGTTCTGATAAATCTAGTGTCAGAATATAGCAGTTACCCTGCTGCCAGAGGCCTCTGAGCTTCTGTGTAATACTCATTGGCTCTGCCTCTCTTGTAACTTCACACCAAAGTAATAGATCCAAAGGACTTTGATGGAAGCATCTAATAATGCCAAGACAAGTCAAGGCTGAATCAGGCTCCCGGTTTCTGAACCATCCTAGTAAATGTAGAAAACTCTTGGGCTGTTCAGACAGTAAAGCAAACTGGCCTGCACACAAAACCAGAGTTTATTACTAGAAATAATATTACTTTTATTCTTTTTGGGTTTGATTTGTTCAAAAAAAAAAAAGTATTTCTAAGCAAATATATTCTTAAATTGACTCATATGCGGCAACTCCAAGAGCCAAAACATGATGCCATGTTGAAGGCTGCAGCCTTCAGAGGTGGAAACTCTAGAACTAGTGGGAAGCTTCTAAAACACCGTCTGTCTGGAAGATTGTGGGATTCCTAAATATCAGTTCACCCCTACGCAGCAGTGGCCCAGTCCCAGGTAGCAATAGGGGCTGGAACATAGATAAAGCAGTTTTGTGTTTGAACGCCTCAAAGAAAACCAGTTCTGTTTTATGAAGAATCCTATGCTTATGATTTGTTATTTTTTCCTTTTACACCAGTTGAGTCCTGAGCCCGACAAGAAGGACCCTCCCCAGCTGTGCAGGAAGAACAACCTGACTATTAGGCTACTATTCGTCTCTCCTTCCTCTTGTTTACCCACTAACAAAGAGAAACACAAATCTCTCTCATGCCTTTTCTAGCCAAAACATTAAACTAGAGAGGGGAAAAAGTGTTGGTCAAGAGAATCTGGACAATTATACCGATTCTTATATTCAAAAGCTACCTGAGAATATTTGCAGAAGCAGAAGGCATTTGTATTTAAGTACATTAAACAGTGATAGATTTGTACAGTCCCTAGCCTCCAACTAATGCAGATAAGTAATATTAGACGTAAAGATCGCTTTCCCATAAGAAATCAACAGGATTTAACCACTTAATCTGGTTAAGTTCTCCATAGGAGTCCTTATCTCAAAACATGTTTAAATGCTTTTGAGCATAGAGGGTTTTTCAGTCAAGATTTGCACTCCGTTGCTGACATAGGCTGGCTTTACACAAGAGTGTATTAGTGTATGCCAGAGTTTGTACAATTATAGGCGAAGAATTTGGGAGAAAGACACAATGTCAGCCTGGACATTACACACATTATCTACCAATAATTCTACCTAAAAACAAAACAAAAAACCCTTTTCATTCTTCAATTTCTCTTACCTGGTTTCAGAGATCATTGCACTGCTGTGAGATAAGTCAAGAAAAGAACCGTTCGTAGCCTTAAGACCCAGTTCAAGGCCTAGAAGTCCAGCCTAAAGAAGAGGCCTTCTCATAACACGCCACAGCCAACCCAAAGGGGCCAGACCTTGTCTTGAGTGCTCTGTTAAAGCACAGTATTAACTTTATTGGAAAAAAAAAAATACATATTTTGATTGCCTCTCAGTGTCAAGCTCTTCGTAGCTCTCTCTTTACGATCACCACAGTATTTCGGGGATTATCACACAGGTAGCTCAGTTCTACCTCTCCAGGCCTCCAGCTATCCCACCATTCTCACTAACACAACCTCACATCTGAAAACTTTTTATCTTTACATACCTCCACATATAAAATATGCATTTGTGTATATTTGCCTGCTTATCTACATAAATAAACGCACAGCTACATAAATACGTGCAACCACAGCACTGCTTTGAGAGCTGAGCCTCTTTCCAGTATGTCACCAATCTTATGAGTCTTATCAGGCAAGATTTTGAAAGAAAAAAAAGGCAAATACGCAGCTCTGATCCAAGCTGTGTCAAATTTATCGCCGTCTATAACAAAGGACTAGTGTGATACATATTCCATAGAAGCGTTATATTATAATCGTACTTTTTGAAAGAAATGTCAAATCATTGAAGTATTCTTGGTATTCCACGGTAGGAGAGACATGGAGATCTAATAATGTATATAAGCCAGAAATTAGATCCCAATCCAAACTCATCAGTTTGATAGCAGTAAGTCAGACGTGCTATTTGGGTTCAGATTTAGCACTGCATTTTTTTTTTTTTTCTATTCCTTTTAAAGCAGCTGGCTTTTTCACAGATTTTCAAAATCAAATAGATTTTTCAATAATATTTAAAAATAAATTACAATTCAGTTCCAATAAAATAGAGTAAAAATAAAGAAACTCAAGCAATATCATGAATATAAACTCAAAGATCTCTGAAGAGAAAAACCAGTCTAGCAGATGAAATCCAGAATGCAATATTTTGAGCAAATTTTAATTAGACACCAGCCATAGCGCTGAGTGTCAACACTTGAAAAATAAAAAGCACAGAAGCTCAGAAGTGAGCAGTTATGCCATTTAGCGTGTACGCTGATCTACTTGAAAATCATCTTGTCTCATTCATGCTTTGTCATTCACAATATGTGACACGAGGAACAACTTCAGCTCCGTCTACATTAGCAAGAGCCAGTGGCCAAGAAGAGCATCTCAGAGGGGCAAAATTGGTGCCAAGGACTTGACTTCCCCACTGCACCCATTTCAGGGGGGTTTCTACTGCGGAAGAGCAAAGCACATGAATGTGGACAATCCAGTCCTAACCCAAATGTAAACTCATCCTTTGAAATTAGGAGAAATGCAGGAAGCGTTCAGACTGAGCAGACCTTGGTGTGTGCTGGATTTACATAAGGAAACTCTTCTGTCCTACACCCAGGTGATAAAACAAGATCTTAAAGGTTTCATGCTGAACATCAGAAGATGTTTAAGGTGTTCGTTATCACCAGTTTCGTTGTTGTTTCATAAAGCTACAAGATAAAGATTGCACCTTCCAGATAGGAATGAAAACATAACAACACTTATGTGCAAACAAGGAAAAAAAAAAAAAAAATTCTGGAGAAAGTAAGTTCTTGTTCTCTTGATGATCCCGAGTATTTAAGTGAGCTTTTTAAAAGATGATTTGGTGACATTTTTCTCATTCTGCCATTCCTCCTGAAATCATTTAGTTTGATTAGCATAGGCCAAGCACAAACAGAAGGATGAATCCCACCAATATTTCCCATCATTTCTGATGTGCTGGGACATCTCTCGAGTTGAAGACACAGCTATTTAACATATAGGGCAGATGCTGCTTCTGCCCATAGCCAAGGGCTATGGGGCACACTGACAGTCCCATATGTACTGAAGTGACTGCTAGGTCACTGGGAACCTGGAAATTTCCCTCTTTCACTAGGAATAGCTTTCTCCATCTAAGCCACGGGAAAAAGCACACTGAGGTTAGTGAGCATCTCTGCACTGCACATACACAATATTTTCCATTAGCTTTTTGACGATATAGATCCTAAGATGGAGAAGATGGAAGTGTCCTGTCTGATTATGTTTTAAATACCTTGAAATTTTGAAATTATTGAGTGGAATCTGAAGTTGTTCAGTGCAGTAAGTACCGCTGCACTCGATCTAGTAGTAGTAGTGGAAGTAGAACAGTGAGCCGAGAATAAAAGGGATAAAACTGTCCAACAAAATTAAATATCTCACACCTTTGAAAAAGGTCACATGAATCCCTCCTTAAATGCCCACGATGCTGCACAACACATCTCTCCCGTGCCTTTACAGCACATTATGCCCTTCTAACTGCTTTCCTTCCTCCGTTCGCTCTTGCATCTCTCTCTTGACTACTTCTAACATTTTCAACATCTGACAAGCTGCCAATTTTTTGAAGAAGCCTATTTCCAGAAAGGCTTCTTTACCTCAAGATAGACAATTTCTCCCCAAACACGCCTCTGGAGCAGAGCCCAGGGCAGGCCATATGCCACCCCAGCTCAGGGAAAGGCTTACGTTTCAATACTTAATGCACCTGTCACGATAATACCAGGCACTTTCCACCCCCGGTGTAGGAGAGAATCCAAACTTCCTGTGGGATGTGCAAAACCAGCACTCAGCCTTGGGAGCCATCCAGGCATGGCTATTAGAAGAGAAAAGCTATTTCTGCAGGCTTGCAGGAATTGATGGCATCATTTAATGCCTCATCTTTATATGCAAGTGTGTATAACCCAGTTTTTCCGCAGCTGCTACGACATACGTAAATGCAGTATTATCTCCCAGCTACGTTGTAGCACGCAACATAAATAGTATTGGAACTTATGTTGGGCATAACTCAGTAATTTAAGACATTTACTCACGTGTGAGATACCCATGTAGTGGCCTACCACTTCTACAAAATAACTGACCTGCTTAAGGTATGGTAAGGACAGAAATGTTATACATACTTTCTAAATCTACCTTCCTACGTCAGACAGTGTTTATGGAAATAAAGTCATTGAGCTGATCATTTTTCATCACTGCAAACTGAGACTACACTGTATTTATTTATCAAGAAAAGAAATGTCAGTCTAACTGATATATGAAGAATCCCTAAAAATATCTACAGTTAGAAGCTCAGTTTACAATATTAGCATTTTTTTTTAGTCTGTGTTTATCAAAAAGCATGGGCTTAATTTTTATTCTTTTTTATAAAATCCTAAATTTTTGCATACTCTCTAATCAGATAAAGTAATTTTCACCTTAATTTACTAGTGCAAAGATTGATCTCGTTATTTATAAATTTGGTCCAAGCATGTTTTCCTAAAGTTCCTAAAGCTCAGCTACAGACCACAGTAAAACTCTGTAATTCTCAGAAAAAAAAATTGAAGGATTTCTAAGATTGCATTCAAACACAAGAGTACAAAACTTCACAAAAAGTACAGTTATGGGCAGCAGAATGCCTTCTATTTTGCTTCAGTAATAAATCACTTTCCTGACTTCAGTTAGTAACAAGATTTTTAATCCTGGAGATTGAACATATCCTCTAATTAATACAAAAGTAGGGACTCATCTTTATCTTTAGTAAAAGATTTGTACACTGCTCCAATGATTTGGATTACATTTTTAAAGAACCAGAGACTGAAACTCTTCAATGGCCCTTCCCATTCCTCAATGCATTTATAATTCAAAGGTAATAGGGAACAGTTAATAATTCATACGGTGATTTTAGGGCTTTTATTCAGAAACCTTTTGCCTGTTGACTTAAGAGTGTGCCAAAAAATATTCAGGTATTAATACCTCAGCAATTTGCAGCTCTACACAGATGAAATCTCTGAATTTATCCAAGTCCAGATTTATGGTGAGGAATCAGAGCACATCATTACAGGCTTTGAAAAAGTACAGAGGGAGGCAACAACTTTCCCAGGCTATTTAAAGCAATATATTTCATTTCAGTTCTAGCTCTCAGTCCTCGTTTGCAGGGTTATTTTTGATGGCGATATTCTCACAGTTGCCTGAGAAACTCCAGGAGCGAGCTGCAGTTTCTGAGCGGGCAGCTCCGCCGAACCAGCAAGGCAAGTCCCCCTTGGAGGGGATGCCAAGGAAAGGTCCATGCTAGGAAAGCTCAGCCTGACAAAAACCAAATTCCCATATTCCCTTAATCCAACAAGTATTTGATTCTTGAAGAGGGTTGGGGGTTTTTTTTGGTTTTTTTTTTTTTTTTTGTTTGTTTTTTTGATTTATTTTAACCAACTCTCAGTTCTACTTTTCATTGACTTTACTAAGTTTCATTTACTTTACTAAGAAAGAAATCTAATAAAATATCAGGATTTAGAGAGGAAGGCTTTGTTTATATGGATGTGAGCTCGGTACTATTTTTGCTTTCCTCCGAGTATACTCATATTAGATTAGCACATGTAGGTTAGATATTAGGAAAAATTTCTACAGGAAAATGGTGGAGTTGCCATCCCCGATAGTGCTCAAGAAACGTGTAGATGAGGCCCTTAGGGATGGGGTTTAGCAGGCAGGCTGTTGATGGCTTTATGGTTGGACTCGATGATCTCGAAGGCCTTTTCCAACCATAATGATTCCATGATCTGCCCCATCTCCTCCCCCAATCCTGTCCCAATTAACATTAAAAAGAAAGAAAAAAAAAAAGAAAAGAAAAAAAAGAGACTCCAAACGGCTCCTAGCACTCGATCTAGCTCTGCCTGCCAGGCAGAGGGAATTTTGAAGATGGCATACCATCAATTTCCTTCATTTGTGTCAGAAGTTGAGCAGCTGCCTTCTTACCAGGCTGAAGCGCAGCCAAAAATCTTTTCAGGCAGCCCAAGAAAAAGCTCTTCAGAGGAACTAAACTCAAAGACCCCAAAGTATGCAGCACCCTTCTGAACAGGCGTGTGTTAATATTACTGCACTGCATTATCAATCGGCAACGTGGTGGAGAAGCCCAGAAGGAGTAACAAGACTCCTACGTGTGATTACACTGCTCGCCAAGGAACAAGCACACACACTTGAACTTGAGAGCTTGTTATTTCTCTGTGGCCAGCGAGAGACATTTAGCAGTATTTCCCCCCCAAACTGGTAAGGAATGTGAAAAAAAGATTTACCTCCACAGTAAATGGAGATCCTCTGTGGGAAACCAAGCTGTAAAGGTGGTTGCAAGCAGGGCTTAGCAGGTGGGATTTATTACCCTAACGCACAGGCTCTCCAGCTGGGACTAATGCAAATTGCACTACCGGTGTTCAGGATGACCTAAAAAGGCACCTTCCAAAATTGCCCCTTTGCATGTTACCATTTGACTTGGGGAAATGGTCAGAATTCAGATTTGGGAGCTGGAAGAGCTGGTGGTTGTAGCTGTAGTGGGGTGAACACGCATTTGCAGGTCAAAGTGCTGTAGACAACTAGGGGGGAATTACAGCAGATAAAATAAGAAATAAATAAAAACGTGCTCAAGAGCCTCCTTGGCTGGCCAGCTCTCCTCAGCCAGCTTTCCCTGCAATGTTTATTTACTACAAAACTAGGTTGTTGGCAGAGTTCCCACGGCAAAGTGAGCTGCCCAGCTATTACAAAGTGAATTCCACTACATAAAGAAGAGGGGTTTTTCTTAGGGCTCCTCTTCTTTCCACACAGATATCCCATTACTTCAGAACTGTGCCTTGTAAGCGCAATTTTGCACAGAATTATTAGAACAATCAGTTTAAAAGAGGTGCATTTATAACATTCCTGAAAATTAGATTTTCTGTAAGGTCTGTAGCAAACTATTTTGCACAGGCATTTCTGCCTCCTTCATTTGTAGAAAAAAATAAAAGATGTATACGCTTTTCTTCCTAATTTTCATAGTTCTATAAATATAAATAAATTAATGTCTATAAAACTTCTGTGTTAAATAAAGTCACTTGTGTAATGGTATAATAGGAAATTCTGGTATTGAAAGCCATGGGATGAGGTTTCCGTAGAGCTAAACACCAAAACAGCAAAGCAAATAAAGACACTGAGAGTGAGATGACATTCTCCCACTTGAAAATACGCATTTCTAAATTGAAATTGTATTCCAGTGCTTAGCACAATGATGCTCCAGACGTGATTAAGAGATCAGGAAACTCAAAAAATATAAATGAAAGCGGGTGAGAAAACAGGGGGTCTCAGATCCTTCTCTTACGGTCCAGCAGAGATCCTCCGATTAGCATTTGCAGACCGCACTAAGCATATCTAATACAAAAGCAATACATGCTGCACAGCTCTCAGCAAATATTACCAAGATGGAAATGCCTACTGACAAATTCACAAGCTGCAAATGTACAGTCATGAAATTCAATAGCCTCACAGCTGCACACTTGTAACTTGTGAATGCAGAAAAATGTAGGAATTGGCAGCGGCCTCTCTGGCAGATGATATCATTTTACAGACGACGCTGGCGAGGATGCCAGTTCGATGTTGAACTCTCCTCTTGCTTTCTGTGTTCCCTCGATCTTGCCCTGTGCACAAAGTGCATCGTTCCTTAGAAATGCCCCCATTTTCTTTCTTCTCTTTGGCATAACTTGGACATTAGCTGCGAGCTCAGAGCTTAAAAATTAACTATATCTTTGTGCCTGCAAATCATGGGTCAACACACGGAGAAAGTAAAATAATAAGAAAAATCCCAAGAGCCAGTAAGGTAACACAATGATTAACTGCTGCCTTCGTGGTACACTTCTAGTGCAGCTCAGATCCTCATTTTTGGAGGTCTGTTTTCCTCGCTCCTTCCCTGTGCCAGAAGCAGAGATCTCTGCAAGTGTAAAAACCTTCTAGATGTTCCTTAGCCCCTTCAGTTATGACAAAGTACAAATCTGAGTAGACTTGTTTTAAAATCCCCAATTTAAACATTTTAGCACAGTTCAATACATATGGCTCCATGACTCCCCAGCTGTGCCCTCCAAAGGCCACTTTTGGTAAACCTAGTGCACTTACTTCAAGGTGAAGTACAGGAACTAGAAAAACAAACCAAAACAAACACGTAAGTGGGTAATCTCTATGCAACCTGACCCACTAGCTCCATTCGCTCACAGTTGCCTTATTTCTTCTTGTGGCTTCTCTGATGCTGCTCCAGGTGTCTGGGATTTCAGACAAGCCTCCGCACCACAGGTTTTGGGGGCAGCCAAACATTTGCATCTTCAGATACCCCGACCACAAAAATATGTGAGCCACAGCAGCCTCGTCACTCAGCACAGCTCTAGCAGCAGTTCCCCCCGCTGCACCTATGCTCCTCACCTCTGAGCTTGGGAAAACTGCAGGAACCTTCAGATCTATCACTCCGGCCAAACTCTTCCCCATGTATATCTGCACTTATGTATTTTCACTTTAGATATCCTTGCTCAAGAATTACTGTGCAAAAATCTCCAGTCTGTACTGATTTATATGCCTGTAGTGAAGGACAAGCCTGTAGTAAAGGATAAATATTATGTATTTATTATGCTGGAAAAATATATTTAATTATTGACATTTTAGCAAAGGTCGTATGTGATATTAACCAATCTCTCTGCAGGGATTTTTAATGTGAGACATGTCTCATACTTTTAAAGCTCTCTTTAACTAGCAGACCTCAGAGTCACACTTCTCAAAATGTCCAGCAGCTTCCACTGCTCTGCTTAGGAACAAAAAAGGAGAATTTTCCCTTGGAAAAAAAAAAAAAGAAACAAACTCTTTATACAAAGAACAAAATATTATTCACTCTGCTCTTTTTAAAAACGAACACAAGCCCTTTAGAAAGAGAATGTTCAAAACCTGGAAGCATCTAAAATATCTGCAATAGTTGGACTCATCCACCAAATATTTACTTGGGAAACTTTCCGGTTATTGTTGACAGTAAGAAATGGAGAAGGATGAAAGGAGAAATTGTCTGGGCTCCTGGAAGAAGAGCCGCCCTGGGAGCCGCTGTTTCTCCGGGGAGGGAGCACGTTGCTGCAGAGCACCGGGCTCCTCGGGGACCCCCAGCCTGGATGCGCTCGTGGAAGCCGCATCCCTACGCCCTGGATAGGAGCCATTCCCTTCTTTACCCTTCTGCTGGATTTTTTGACCAGGATGGGGGACTTTTCCTTGAAAGCGTGCTCACAGCATGTCCAGGATGCATTTACTTATAAAGTGTGCATGTGGCCAAGCAGAGACCAACTCATCCCTACCCTGTTCCTCAGGGCAGGCAGCACCTGGCTCCCCATCCCTGCGCATGCAGCTCCAGAGCTGTTGCCCAATCTTTGCAGGATTTGAGCAAGAAGCATTCCCCGCGTTGAAGGCTTGCTTTCTATGTGCCAGGGAAGGTTGAACTTCCCCTTGGAGCCTCGGAAGTCCTCCTCACAGAGCGAGACACAGAAAAGCGCAGTAAGTGGTTTGTTTACCCAGAACTTGGCAGCACCACAACAAAGAACAGAATGTAAAGAACGAGCTCCCTTCGCAGAAGTCATTCACTCCCAAACAAAAGCTCTTACCCTCCTCAAACAGATTTTCCAAGCGGGCCCCATCTATTTCTGGGCTGCCCAACATTACAGTGACCTCTCAGATAACTAACAACTATTTGAAAGCAAGTCTGCAAAAAAAAATGGGAGGAATGAGAAAGTTCTGCTGGAGCTGATTTTTCATTAAAAAAGCATTAAGAAAGTGCGGGCTTTTCAACGCAGCCATCTGAACAGGCAGCCGCTTTTCAGGTAACGTGTAGAAACCTGCTGAATTCAGACGACTTCCAACCTCCCCCCGGCTGCAACAGCTGGATAGATTTGTTTCCACCTGCTTTTACCATTTGTCACTGCTGAGGTATGTTGCAGAAAGCTAATTTAGTGCTAAACTGTCAGTATTTCTGAAACTAGGAGACTGGTTTTTAAGAGATGAGTGTGTTTTGCGGGTTAAAAGGTGCCACAGTATTCCTCTTTGCTTGGTGTTGCAGAGGAACTGTTGCATCCACTTGGCAAAATTAGTTCACTTGGATAAAAGATAAAAGAAAATGGAAACACTAGAAGCAAACAAGAATAAGGTGAAAAAGTTGGTGTTTCCTATATTTTGTACAGGAAAGAAATTATGTTTTCAAAACTTCATGAGGAGCAAGGCCCAGTTCTGCAATAGGAACCTCCGCTGAGGCTGCAGGAGGAGGACATCAGTGCACGAGCTCAGATGAATTTCTCGACCATCCTATCTGTGTAACTTACCTGTAGATATTTTGAAAGCTTAGAAAATTCTCGAATAAGTTATAAAGATTTAGGAACATTTATCAAGTGCTGCGAGATAGGTGAGCTCTCTTGTTGGAATTATTTTGCCTTTGCCCCAAAGGAAGAGCCTCTCCAAGGGCTGCTGCCATGAAGTGGCTGCTGCCGGCAACTTCTGGGAGTGAGACCCAGATGCCTAAATTACTTGCACAACTTAGATCACAGGATATTTATTTATAAAGATTTCAAATGATAAAAACATGCTTCTCCGAGCTCAAATTCTCCTGACACCTCCTCTAATTATTCAATGTAATGAAATCCCAGAAGCACCGAACTGATCGTTCCAGCAGGAACTCGGCCAGGAAACACCTATGGAAATTTCTTTCTAGTCATTCATCGCTATGGGAGGGGATCTCACAATCCTCTCCAAAAATGCCCTGAAACAGATGTCTTGCAATCTATCAAGAGATGATCCAACTCCGACTTGGAGGGAGCTCCTAGCGAAATGGGAAAGCCCTGGGAAGGGATGTTTGGCCGGGCAAGCGTTTTCATTGAGCGGGACCCAGGTGGGCACAGGGACATGTGGCTCTTCCAGCCATGACCAAGTCACACCTAAAGCCCAAATAACTCATCAACCTCTCCCCAGAGATGAATGAGTAGGTACAACAGAGCTAAGCACTTGTAGATCAAGAGAAAGCAGAGTTTGGAAAGGACAAGAAGCAAATCAATATGACAATATTAAGACACATTGCAAACTTATGAAGAAAGTGTTTCCAATAGACCTTGCTTTTTTTTACTGTTTTAAAACCAACATTAGCCAGCGTGATTGCACAGCGCACAAATCTGTCAAATTTGTTCTCAGCGGCAATCCTGAAACGTATCATTACGATGTGCTGTGTGAGCACAGCTAGGCTTGGCTTTCATGTGACTGAGCACTAAATTAGTTTATGGATAATGTTCCTTTACAA